TGGAGCCCACACACCCCTCCCCGCCCCCGGGGGCTGACGCCGGCGTCCGCTGACGCTCTGCCCCCTCCGATGAAAACGGAGCTGACTCCGTGCCACTTACGTCACTGCACTGTTTATTTAATGAATGCAATAGCGCCGCTCTCGTCGAGCGTTTGCTGGGCGCCATCAGAACAGACCATCTCAGCGCAGGTGCGACAAGGCACTTGCAGGCATGGTACACCTGCCCGGAGGGCTACGATACACAGCGACAGGTCTGTATGCATATATCGGTGTGCAAATACACATACGTACACAAATACGTAAATACTGTACGTAAATACAATACAAAGCAGGAGTAATAAACCCTGAATTAACACGGGTTGTCCAGCAAAGTTTACACGATTAATTCCAGTCATGGCAAGTGAAAGATTCAGAGGAAAAAAAAAAAAAAGAAAAAAAAGAGTTGTTACTACATCACCTGAAAACGAGCATCTGATTTAACCAGTTCCAAATTAGCCTATGACAAACCACCGTATGAGAAGAGTAACCGCAATTCAAAAGATAACGCATCAACACCACAGCTATCAGACGGGACCTAGTAATATATACACCGTACTCGGTGAAACGGAGTATCTTTCATCTCTTCCCTATGATCCCTGGCATAGTCCCAAAGATGATAATCGAGTAAAACTGCATTGATCTTTTCACGCATGTCTTGACCCTTCTTCTCATAGAGCTCCAGCAGGTGCTTACAAATCAACGCACAACACCAAATAGAACAGCCACGGATCTCCACCTCCTCTTTATCCCCAGACTGGAAAATTGTTCCTGCAGGACACAAGAGACAGCAATCCAATTACACTCAAGAGACAGAAGCCCCAGGATGGCCTGAATTTGCCTTCCCCCCCCAACATTTATTCTATTATAGGACTGCAGTTTTCATGACTTACACTACAACTGCCAACAACGTGACTATACATTTTCTAATGATTGCTTTAATTTTACCATATGCACTTGTAAGTTTACCTCCCATTCAATTAAAACAACATCCTGTATTCTAAGAGTGCAGTTTAAGAGAAGAACAGGTGTTTGGGTTATACTGCACGTTACACGACTATTTCTTTGCTAGCGGAGACAAAAAGTATAGTCACACATAATTCCGAGACAGTGTATTTCCTGCCAGGATAACTCAAAGATTTAAAAGTTAAAAAACACAAAACAAGAAACACC